TTTGTGATATGAAGGCCGAAAAGCAAAGTTTTAAGGCAATAAATTGAGGATGCCCTCAAAAAGGACACCAAAATTGGTTTTTGATCATGAGTTACTATACAATTATTTGCCGCCTTTGAAACAGCACCAGCTCTCCTCTACACAGGTACTTGGCAGGTAGGTTGTGCAGCATGTTGAGGGATTTGTCTCTTTATGTAACCCCCCAGACTGACTCTGAAAATCAGAACTCTGACGGCTTCAGATCATCTTTAAGACTCTGGAGGATCATTCGGGCTTCTTGTCCTGCTTGCAGTATTATTTTCAGACGCCTCCTTCTGCATGAAAAATCCGCCAGCTCAGTCTAACCGTGTCCACTATGGGCTTCATTCGCTACAAGACTGTGACATTTTCAAACCCCGCGGACACTCAACGTACAGAATGTGTTTGTGCATGTGTGTGTGTGTCACGACGAGTGTGTCGTTTGCGAACAGTGCGGGTGTATTTGGGCGCGTAGGCGGACTACAAGAGGCTCTTTTTTGCGAGCGAGCTCTGCAGAATCTCAGGTTACAGGAACAGGAGACGAGACACAAAGAGAGACTGAGCTCAGGTAGAGTCTGACCCGAACGTCAAACAACGAGAGTCCTGTTAGAGACGAGGAGGAGGAGGTGGGGGAGGAGGAGGCAGAAAGACGCAGCAGGATCTTGGCGGTTCTGGTTTTCAGGAAAGTGGTGTAAAACCAGAACACCAGAAAAATGGAAATGTGGGAATAAGGTGACAGAGCAGAGGAGGGTAAGACTGTCAGGTTCATCAGGAAGTGTTGACGTCTGTGAAGGTCGGATCATCAGCTAAATGACGACAGCAGGCACATCTGTCAGCACCTGTCCTCACATCTGTCGCAGTCCACCTTAATACTACAACAACAGAGAGGTTCTGGTCCAGGTGTCACAGCGAACTGACCAGACTAGATGCTTTTATTAGAAGATCCAGTGTCAGCTTTGAACTAAATAGGCATAAAAGAAAGATTTTTTTTTTAACTTACATCTACAAAATACCTCAAACAACAAACCTTTTGAGTAACTGATTATGTACAAAGCTTTACGATTCATTTATACTCTTTAACTTGGAGTAACATCGTGAACGGCAACCTGGAGACCTCTGAGGTGATGCAAGGAATCGTACTATAAGAAACCTTATTAGCGATTATTCTTCTTGTAACATGACTAATATTAGAAACTATTCGACAGCGGTGACGGAGCTCGTGGCTAAATGTTTTTTAAGCTGATAAACCTAAAAATTCTGTCCATGTAGGACGACAACGTAACTTCACCAACAGTAAAATAACAGCGTGACTCGATCCATCATGTCTCCATGTTGGGGATAATTTCTATTTATAAGTAATTAATGAAGTTCCTGCTGTTGCTTCCTGCATAAACACACACAGTTCACTCTCTTTGGAGACGCTTGTGGATGCTGCAGGTGTTTATTAAACTCAGAGGAAACAGTCCTAAACAAACTGATCTGTGACTGACAGCTCACCTGTCTGATGTAAGGACAACTACACGCTGTGACCTGCTGGTAGATCCTGATGAACCCTGTCTCCATGTCAGGAGGAATTTAGAATTACAAGTAATTAATGACGCTACCGGTGCTGTTGCTCCGTGTAAAAACGCCTCAACTTTCTAGTTTCTAGATGCTAATGTGGATAATTCTGAAGAAAGACTTCTGCAAAGCAACAAACTGTGACTGACAGTTCAGCTGTCTGACATGAAGACAACAGTATGAGCTGCTGTTAGATCCTAGTTTGGAATAATCCTGTCGTCAGGGATCATTTGCAACAATAAGTAATGGATGAAGTTAGTCTTTGTTCCAAGCTCTCTTACTTTGGAGACGCTTGTGGATTCTGTTTCCGTCTGATGCTGCAGGTTTTTAATAGGCTCAGAAGAAAGACTCCTGTCAGAAGCAACAAACTAAACGGTGACTCTGTGATGTGAAGGAAAGTCCACATTGTGACTTGTTGTTTGATCGTAAACCGGACTAATCCAGTCTTCATGTCTGGGATCATTTTTTTAAAAGTAATTAGTGAAGTTAGCGGCGCTGTTGTTCTCTTGCTTTAGAGACACTCGTGGATTCTGCTTCTGTCTGATGCTGCTGGTTTTTAACACATTTAGAGGAAAGTTTCCTACAAACAACTGAAGGCGACAAACTAAACTGAGTCATCTGATCATGACCTGGGCTGTCTCCATGTCGGGGATCATTTATAATTAGAAGCAATTCATGATTTTAATGAAGGTTAATTGACTCAGAGGAAAAACTTTAGTTTTTTTAGCAAACACACATTTAGTTGCTGTCAGACTAACAGATATAAGACACTAAGACTCTCTGCAGCTAAACCCTGAATGTGAATGTGGAGTTTCATACTTTGAAGGTCCATCCCAGCCCTCACCTCTCCGTCAGAGCTTTACTCTGGTTGTCCCTGGCGGCCTGCAGGTCTCTCTCCAGGCGCTTCTTCTCTGACTCCAGCTTCTCGGCGTCGTTGGGCTCCAGGCGCTGGCGAGGGCTGACGTACTGCAGCTCCTTCAGCAGCTCCTCCTTCTCGTTGATGAGGATGAGGCGGTCCCTCTCCGGGTCCAGCAGCCCCGGCCACGCCTCGCTGTCCAGTTTGGCGATCTGCACCTCGATGGTGGCGATCCTGCGGCGAGACAAAGATCAGAAACAGGCAGCAGAAGTCAGGAACAAAGAAACTTTATTTAGTCTTTTTCTGATGACAAATCTGTACAGAAGCGTTCCACCTGCTGCTACTGTAACGTGTTAATCTTGAACATATTCCACGAAAAACATAAAGTCTTTAAAAGATAAAACAACGTCTACCTTCTCTTGGCCTCCTCATACTTCAGGCTCAGACGAACCTTCTCTGCCAGTTTGTTGGTGCTGGTCATAAACTGATTAGAAAGACAAGAAAACAACAACAACATGGTGGACGTCAACACCAGGAAAGACTCAGGAAGGAATTTCTTTGATGGGATAATCCCTTCATGGTGCACCAAGTAAGAATGTGAAACATCTGTTTGGAAACATGCAAATCCATTCATGTAAATCAGTTAAATGCGTATTCTGGTGGTGACACGATCAGTGCATTGAATTGACTGAAGAGTTACAGAAAAAAGAAGAAATTTGCATACTGACTGTAAAAACAGAAACAAAATAAAACTCAGTATTTTCACAAATGGTAGTTTGTTCTTTTAGAATATGTGACTGTAAATTAACAGATTTATTGTATTTGGGCTGTATTGTTTATTGTTTAAGTTGTCAGCTAAAAAATGTCATTATTTTCTGGATATTTTCTGTTTTGTTTACCATTATTACACTTATGAACATTACAGCATACCACTGTTTTTGTTTTTTTAAACATAATTTTTCTGGAGTTTCACTGTATTTTTATTGGATTTTTGTTTTTTACAGTGTACATCACATACACTGCAATAACTTCTTGGTTTTTTGTTGGGTTGTTTTCACATTTTCTAACAGTAATTTTTTAAACAATTCACTGTTATTTTACAATTCTTTTTTTTATTTTTTTACAAAAATCTGTATTTTTACAAATCCTCATTCGTTCTTGTATAATGTCTGACTGACTTGTATTTAAGCTGCATTATTTGTTTAGTTTATTTTTTTTTAAAGTATAATTTTACAAATATTTTCTATTTTTTTATAGCTGTTATTACAGTTTTTATTTGTGTTTAATGTAATTTTCTTGGCACTCTTGCTGCCAGATTTTTTGCTGTTTTTTTTTTTTTAAACAGGTTTTTCATATTTTTACAGTGTGATGTCTTTGTTTTCTTCTGGAGAAAAATCAAACGTAATGAAAGTTAGGACAATCAGAGAGTGAGTATTAGTGTCTTTGGTGTCTTTAAAAGTTTTTAGGTTTCTACCCGTTCAGACAAAAACAAATCTCAAAGTCTCGGGTCCTTACGGTGTTGATGGTAAACAAAGCAGCAGTTATACGTTAGCATGGACGCAGCCTCAGGTCCTAAAAGGTCCACCTGGTGTCCACCTTTATCGGCTGAAACTTCTTGATGCTTGTGACGTTTTTTTTAACAGAGAATGAGATCCTCACCTCGGCGGGGATGTCGGTCTGGGACCCGGCGTCAGAGTACAGTCGTGGGATGGACACCTCCGAGTTGGCGAGCGACGGACTGCTGCCCCAGAGCTCCTGCTGAGAACCCGAGTCCAGCTGGAAGCCGTCCTTCAGCACCGCCAGTTTCTGCAGTTAAGAGTCACAACATGAGCGATCTGCAGCACAAACCCAACACGAGGTGACAGACCTTAAAACAACAGTCGATCAATTATTGTAGCTTCTCTTCTGCTGACCGATACAGTCAACAGCTGCAGCAGAAGAACCGATGAGGGCGTAAAAGGTACTTTTAAACTGAGTGAGGCAACGTAAAGATGTGTTTAGATCCAACAGTATTTCACTACATCACCATTAATATCTCCTGAACTTTTCTTCACTGTCTGTACATCGGCGCAAACAGGAGCAACTTCAGCAACTTTTAAAGGCTCCAGAAAGTCAAAACGTAAAGAAATCTTGGCTTTTTAGAGCAATTTCTGCTCTACCATCTCCATCTCGAGGTATTACCCACTGAAATACGGATATTTATAAAGATATTTGTGAAATCTGAGCTTTGTACACCAAATATTTTCCAAGATAAAGAACAAAAACCACATTAAAGTGCCTGTCGACCCGCTTCCAGCAGCTTTATTCGCACGTTGAAATTTAGGCGACAACATTTCAGGAACTATTAAAAACAAAACAACTGAAATGTTCGCAGCTCATCACGTGTTTGATTCTGAATCTGTAATATTGGACGAGTGGATCAAAGATATGAAAAATAAAGTGAAGCCGTCATGAAAAGTCCCATCTTTGACCACATATTTACAAAAGAGTTGATAACGCAGACATCGACTGGTGATATTTTCTGAACCACACGTAGCTGCAGGTCACAATAATACAAATCTAAACATGTGGAATAGTTTAAATATAAAGTACTTGGTCACACAAAAGAGAAAAAAAAGCTGATTAAGCAGATATAACAAGTTGTTCCACAAAAACAAAAATATTAGATGGTCTAATTCAAGTTTGAAAACGGTTCTCCAAGTACAACTAAGAGAACATATTTGTTGATTTGAACATATTTTATCTACTCTGTGGTTATAAACCTGGTTTGGAGGAGACCTTTAATGTAGTTTTGTGCACTTTCTTTGTGAATGTGAGACTTCAATGATAAGTTTATTATCATGATTATTGTAAAAACTGTTTGATGGGATCAACATGGATTCAGGTTTTGCATGATTGCAAAGATGCATCAACAGCTTGTCCTCTATTCCATCATGTGGGAGCTGAATCTCCACACAGTGACGCTACTGACTGTACGGAGTCATACAGTGCAGGTTGTTCCGGTCAAAGAGCAGCAAAACTGCTAAATCCAACCGGCCACGTCCAGCGATCCTTTCATCTTTACTGCCGAGATGAAAATCTTATACGACTGCGCGGTTTGTTTTGAACCCCTCTGAGGAATTCACCTTATCTGTGCTTTTCAGACGGGGCAGAAAAACAACAAACCGCCTCCGTCATGACGGCAGAGCTGCAGGATTTTGATGATGCAGCTCAAAGACGGTGCTTCAGACTTTGATTTAATTTAGCTGCATGTAAAGCAACATTTGTCACGTTTCACTGAAAGGCAGCATCGAGGGAAAGGTTGGGACGAGAAAACTTCATTATGCAGGAATCATGTTCCTCTCTGCTCTGCTCATCAGCTGCAGGAAGACGTTTCACCGTGCTGGATGTATCTTCAACAACTGGCTCCTCTGTTCACTGTCTTTGAGCCATTCTGCATTTATTTTATTAATCCAGTTTATTTTATTGTTTTTGCAGCCTAAAATTGTCAAAATGATTTGAAACTTGTCCAAAGTGTCAAAATTATCCAAAAATATCTTGAAAACTGTCCAAGATGATTAAAAACTAGTTCAAAATGATTAAAAATTTGTTAAAAAAACGACAATTTTTGAGTCATTCTGGACAATTTTAGTAATTTTAGACAAGCTTTAGTCCAGTTTTGAGGCTCTGCTCATCAGCTGTATGAAGACGTTTCACCGTGCTGGATGTATCTTCAATAACCTGCTCCTCTGTTCACTGTTTCTGAGCCGTGGTGCGTTTATTTATTGATGCGTTGTGTTTTATTTTCCTCTCTGCTCGGTGGAAACACTGCCTGCAGTTCATCCGAAAACTGCAGATTTTTTTTGTGTGTTTAGCAGAATCTGGTGCAAAATACGTTATTTTTGGTAAATTAGCAAACGAGACACGTAGAACGAAATGAATTGGATGAAATATTACAATTTAATTAAAGGAACCACTTGTCGCAAACGATTAGTTCAAAAACTGTCGGAAAGATAAAAATCTGTAGAATATTTTTGTTAAAAGTTCCTATTTCTGATTAATGGTGTCATTTTGGTGATTTTTTTTTATTTTATTTATTTGTTATTTTTTCATGGCATCCAGCAATGATTTGGTAAATGACCAACACATTGTAACGTATGTTAAAAAAAAACAAAAAAACAAAACAAAACACACAAAGGTTGTTCATTTCTGGGGAGTGGAAGTGAGTGTGGTTTAATATTTACACATATTTTTGGCTGATTCTCAAAATAAATCAGAAATGTGTGAATTACATTTGATGCCTTGGCAGAGATTTGTTGTTTCTTTAATCATCGTCTGGCAACAAGAAGTCCTTCTTTTGGTATAAAACTATGTGTATTTCTACTATTACAATAATAAAGATGATGATTACTGCCTAGAAAGACCATTTTGCAGGTTTTAAATTGATGAAAACTAAAAATAACAACAGATTTCTCTTTACGAACACAAAGTAATGTCGCTTTAGTTGTTTGCACATGTGACAACATAGTCCGTGTTTATTCTAACACTCAACAAGTCGTGTTGCTTTGCGCTCCACAGACGTCACCAATAAATCACAAATAATTCGTTATAGCTGGTCGAGAAGCACAGATTTTTATTTTTATTTTTTGCAAATAGAATGTTTTTGACTATTTTAAAATGAAACAAGCAGAATAAAGTGATTTGGATTAAATATCATGATTTTGAAGTTTAGATTTGTTCAGTTTTCCCCAAAAAACTACAGAGTTAGTTTAAGGATCGTCAAAAAAAAGTTGAAAATGTCACGATTTGTTCTGATAACACTGACAAATGGTGTCATCTTGGTGATATTTTAAAGACAGCATGCCTTGTGTTTTGGGGTTTCCGAGTTAAACGGGGATCAGACGCCTCACGGTGACTGTAAACACTTTAAAACAACAATTGAATTTTGTCTAAAACGTCTCTCTGAAACCTACAGATACTCAGGTTTTAATCTAATAACACAAAGAAAAGCTGGAATATGTCTGAACTGTCGCTGTCTGAGGCTTTTTTGGATGCAGATTTACTACATATATTCACACAAACAGACAGCAGACGCACAACCACAACAACAACAACAGATGAAGTCACAGACATTCAGACCGAGCTGTCAGCTGCAGATGCTAACAGGGGGAGGACGGGGGAGGACGGGGGAGGAGATGATGTATTATTGAACACCTCCCTCCACCTCCGAACCGATACGAGCCGAGCAAACCTGCAGAGTCATTTTAAATCTATACGGAGGCGTCTGTTGAATTTTAAAAAATAAAAATCACGCTCCATGCGGCGACTAATTAGAGAAAATGTGCTACAATGAGTTTTCCTGTTATCTGTTCAATATGCAGATGTGCAGGAGAGTCAAACATCTGCACTGAGGACTGCAGCGAAATGATAGAAGCAGTGTTTGTTTCCGCCAGAAGCCAGATATCAAACAGACGAGTTCATCTCTATTCCCTTCATGCACACCTGTAAACAGACTCCAGGTCCCATCATGCAACTTTAATACGCTCAGCAGCTCCATGAACGACTTCACACTGCAGCCGACGCCAAGGAAAGAACGGCGGATAAAAACGATGAATCAGAAGAGAGGACAGACGAAGAACGTGAACCTAAACATTTCACACTCGTCCACAGTTGCAGCCTTTGAACTATTCACACAAAACAAACGTCACCTTCCACAGAGTTGGTTAAAAATAAAATCCTCATCTTGTGTATTTCTGACGGAGCGGTTCGTCTCTGAGGTCATTTGCGACGACCGTGTACATAAAATATTACATTTACCAGAGAGACAACAATAATCTGCAGCTATAATAATAACAACAGGGTTTATTTATGCAGCACTTTTGTTCACGGCGGCGCAAAAGTGCTTCACAGATGGAAAAAAATAATGAAAAAGACTAAAAACATCAATAAGAATCAGAGACAAGTAAACAAAGATTAGAAAAGCAGCCACAGAACAAAGCAGCAAAAAAAAACTTAAAAAGAGCCGAAACAAAAAAAATGGGATAATTAAATCAAAATAAATACAAAATAAATAAAATAATAAAAGAACTGGTATCGGCATTTCTTAAGTATCGACGTCCAACACGAGCAGCTTTCAGCCTCTAAAATTCAATGATTTGCTGCTTTTTGTCGTTAACAGACATTTAGAGACGTCATCTTGGATATTTTTATTTTTCATTTAATGTAGTTCTATTCTTTCTATCCCAGAAAACTCTTTTTAGAAGCTTGACAACAGCAAAAATGTTATACAGAAGGAAAAAAAAAAAAAGTAAATTATTTAATTTAACCTCATTAAATTTTTGAAATTACTTCAGCCTCATTAAATTAGAAAATAAATTCAATTACATGAAATTACATTTTTTAAGTGAACTAATCTAATTACTTTTTTAAAAAAAAAACAAAAATAAATGAAAATACCATCAATTACAATTAAGAAATAATTTCATTTAAATAAATCCTAAAATTTTATTAAATTCATATTTTAAATTATTGAAATTAAAAAATAAAATACATTTAAATGACATTTTAAAAATGTTAAAATTCAAATAAAAAAAATCCTGTAAATTAAAATAAAGTCAATGATTTTTAAAATTTTGTTTTATTTTTTTACTGCATTTTTAAGGCAGAAATTTATAATATTTGCTGCTTTCATTCCCTAAAATGCAAACATTTGCTGCTTTTTGCTGTTGACCGACATTTGGAGATGTCTGTCTGCATTGTTTTTTTCTTTATTTAACATAAATACTATATTTTACACTGAGTTTTTACCAGACGAGGTCTTTTTCTAATCTTTTAGCCTCCTACCTTCAGCTCGACCTCTTGAATTCACACAGCGATCATTAGCAGCAATAAGGTTTCTTGAGGATTCCCTTCAGCTGACGGTGGTTCTAACGTTGTGGCTGATGGTTGTATAATCCCAGAATACACGAGTGTTGTTTGTGCAGTCGTGGTGTAAATATAAATGAGATAACAAACCACTGTGCTGCTGTCAAACACAATAAAGGACGGAGGGAGACGAAAGCAGGCTGGGAGACATAAAGCATAAATCAGAAAAACATAAACAACGTGAATAATTAATGATGTGAGAAAACATTCAGGAGATTAACTGGTAATGAAAAGATTATTATTTCATTCTGACACACAGAAAAGAAAAACTGTTTTTTTCTTCTTGTCTGCCGTCACTTCAGAATAACGGCTTTATACGGCAGAAAACTAAACTTCTGCCCGTGTGAATATAAAACCAACGGGGTGAGAGCAGGAGGTTGTTTATTGCATTTATTATCACCTCGTTATTAAAATGTACACATGAAGCAGCTGCAGCTTTCATGAACCCTGCATCAGTCATATTTCAGCTGAAAACGCTTCATGTTTTATCACACAAGTAAAAAACAAGAATAAAAACCACCAGGAAGCTTCGTAAATGTGGTTATTGTCGGTTTTTATTTCCTCCTCTATGAGAGTAACCTGAATATCTTTGGACAAAACAAGACGTTTGTCATATCAGGCCTCAGGAAACACCGATTTTTCACCATTTCCTGATATGTTTTAGACCAAACAACCAAACAATTAATCCCCAAAACAATCCACAGATCAATCAGCAATGAAAATAACTTTCAGTTGACGTCACTGTTTTCCTGCCATAGCTGGTCGTTTTATGAGAATGATTTCTGCATCTGTATTTTATCTTCTCTGCTGGTAGAATTTATCAACCAAAAACGTCAAACATTCTCTGGTTTCTGCCTCTGAAATGAGACAATCTGCTGCTTTTATCTGTTTAATATCACCGTAAGCTGAGAGCTATCTGCTTACATTTTGAGATTTAGTTATTCTTATTGACCGGTTATCGATGAATTAAACTAAATGTGCTACTTTGGCTCTCTGTAGTCACTTTGTGGTCTCAGCGATGTCCCTCCCCTGCTCTTTGTGATTGGCTGCACATCACGAGTAGCAGCAAATCAGCACCGAATGCTGTTGTTTACACAGAGAGACAGACGAGCACATTAGCAGATGTAGCAGCTCCGGTGAATTAGCAGAGCTCTGTTTGGAAGTTTAGGCAGCTGTAATAACCGCTACAACCTTACATAGACATGCCCAGTTTCAATGTCACGAAAAATACGAGAATATTTCACTTATTCGCATCAGTGCAGCTGGAACTTATTTTACCAACAGTGATGGGGCTAATGCTATCCCTAAGAGGTTTGCTGTGCCTCGTAGCCTGCGGCTAACGCTACCTAGAGCGCTACGCCGTTTCTTTAACAATGGCTTGTAATTGGCAGAAGAGATACTCCTTGCAAAAACTGAACAAGAAGCACAGCCACCTGCACAAATCAGGACACTAGCTGCTTTCCCAGTGGCTATGGCTATGCTAGCGGCTAGCAGCTAAGTTAGGAAACGGCTACAAAAAACTACAAATGCTTAAAGAGAAAGACAAAGAAAGCGACAGAACAGGGAAAGATTAACAAAACGGAGGAACGCCAGACGTAACTACAGGAGACAAACCGATCAGTCTCAATCGATCTATCAGTAAACAGAGGAGAATGTCCCGTGTTACGCTCTGATGTCCTATTGACTCAGTTATAGCAATTAATCCTTATTAATTAGTTTTGAAGGACTGCTCTCATCCTTTGATGTATGTCGCTTCCATATCGGTTTTTCTAGATTATCAATACTTTGTAGCAGCATTAGCTCCAAAAAAACAGATTAAATCATGTTAATTAATCCCTAAAAGACAGCTAGAAGACCTTATTGATCCTCTCAGGAAAATTGTAAAGCAGCAGTTTACACAAAACACACACTGAGCTGACATGAGGTAGGAAAGAAAACGCCATTTAAAAATATATATATATACTTGTGCATAACTGCCAATACTCTCACTGTGCAAACTCAAGATTCTGATCAGAAATTTAACAATAAAAATAATGAAATCAATCAAATCAACAATTTAAATAGACAAGTGTGTGCACAGATCAGCAGTTCAGCATTCTGACAGCTTGTGGAACGAAGCTGTTGATCATTCTGGAGGTTCTTCCTTTAATAATAACTATGAATAAATAATATTCATCCTCCAAATTATGTTTGAAATGACTTTCCAAACTCAATCTGGTTGTTTGCTGTCTCACCTGCAGCTCCAAAGAGTCACTCAGAGTTGATACCAGTTGAGCTACAAAAGGAAATTACAGCAAAATATACACATCGCCTTCCAGAAAACTCATCCTAAAGCGACAGGCCGACATCACACTGTAACGCCAGCCGCCTCCCTGCAGCGCCGTCGAGCCTCTAAATCTCTTTTAGTACATCTGGCTGCTTCTTTTTTTTCTCACACCAATATAATGTAAGGCGATAAAACGCTGCTGCAGACTCTCCTGGGTCATCTGATGCCCTCGTCTCCTTGGTAATACTCCTCCGTCTCCTCGTATCTGTTCATTTTCCATCATAAATCGCTCCATGTCAGAGCCTCGCGAGGGGAGTTTTGCTCTGATCCTCGCTCTGCAGTTCATTCGTTATGTGAGGAAACTCATCCCGAGGTCGTCTGCTGCGTTTTAGGTGCACATTGTGACTCATTTTACCTCCACAACACATCCTGACCTTTCAAAGTAAAGCAGCAGAGCGACCTTGCAGCTGCTCGAGACGCACAAACCGCATCTTCCGCTTTGATTCGAAGGTAAAACTGCTTGTTTCTTCATAACGTCGTGGCCTCGCTGCGATTTCTGACATGTTTCACGTGGCTGTGCGGGTCAGATGTCGCTATTTGGATTATCCGTCTCCTCTTTCCCTTCTTCTTTTGTTTGACAACGCTCTGAACATCCAGCCTCCAGCGGCCTTTAAACAAACTCTTACATGCAAAACACGACGGGGCTAATCTCGTGCTCTGGCTTTAAAGATACGAGGAAATTAAAAGTTTGTCCAAGTCAAGTTCAGCAGAGCAGCGAGGTGGAAGCATCATTCTAGTGATATAATAAGACTGTTACAGCTGCTAGTTTAAATTTGTTTGTGAGAAATCCTGTTATGTTTTATAAAGAGCACTAAATCACTCATTTAGAGGCTAAAATTCTACAAATCTTTTTCTAAACTGTAGTTTTTTTTGTGCACCTAAAACAAAAACTCTTACAACACCCACGAGTCCTTGTGTCATTCCAGAATTCCCCTGAAATTTCCCCAGAATTTACCTTTGCAGTGTAAACTTTACCCTCTATCCTCATTTAGAGACACAAAACGGATATTTAAGCTCAGTTTTTTTTTAGTTTTACTTCACGTCTCCTCATTTTTTGCACACAGACGTGAAGATTTCCTCATTTATCCAGGAAGAGAACGTGAGAACAAGCTCATGGGTAGAGTTTTAGAAAACGTATTTCTTTGTTGTTTGCTTGAGATAATATCAGTCAAACTGAAGCTGAGTGGATCTGATTCAGTATAGAAATGACATGATAACAATAGAGATAACTTAAGCTTGATATTGTCTCAGGTAGACGATGAAAAAATGAGTTTTCTGAAGGTTTGTGACGATGGAGTTCTCTGTTATTGCAAATGAACTCTTCATTTATTGATTATTACTGAGTTACTTATATATTTACTAATTTTAGGAGAAAAAAAGGTTCATATATGTACAGTTTGTGTACCGTTCTTGTAAAGAGAAGCTGGACAAATCCCGACTTTCTTTAAATCTAAAACGCGACTAATGACTAAACTGGATTTCTGAATCATCCGAAGTGATGTAATGAGGAGAGTTTGTGATTTCTACGGATTTCTTCTTTTTCAAAACATCATTCTTTCACTTTCTATCGACCGTACGAGTTGACGACGGGTCTTAAAGCATCTCTAAATGTCCGCAGCAGAACTCAGGCTTAGAGTTAAACCTGAGTTTTCTTTTAGTTCAGTTGTTTTTTTCCAAGTTTTCTTATGTTACACGTTTCTTATGTTACACGTTATGATAAATCCGTTTTTTTTTTTTACCTGCATGAGCTCCTGCTTCTCCTTCTCCCCGGAGCTGATGGCGTCCCGGATGGAGCGAACCTCGCTGAGGATGGCCTGGGCCTCCTGCAGCTTGTAGCCATACGGACTGTTGGACACCTTCTGGTCGATCCTGGAGGTGAGGGAGAGGAGGTCGGTTAGGACGATGATTCAGAACAACACGAGCAGCTGTCGGAGTCACCTTGAGCTCTGAAACATCTCTGCTGCTTCTGACACTTTTTAAACTGGACAATAAACAAACTGATTAAATAAAAGTGTAAATAATTATTAGCCGCGCTGCACAATATTTAGTTTCAGAAACAGCAGAGAAACACTGAAAAGGAAGACTGACTGACTGGCGAGTGCAGAGTCAGATCCAGAAGTGATCCGAAGCCAAAAACTATTTCACAACTTTTTTTAGTCGGCATTAAACCTCGTGTGAAAGGTTCCAATCGACAGACAGAATCATTGATGAGATAACTTTTCACCTCAAGAAAGACACAATCGGTTACCAAAGAGGGTTGTAAAGACAAGATCCAGCAATATTTAATTCAACCTGCCGTCACAGAGCTGTATGGAAAATCCACAGCACAATCGGTCCACGTCAAGATCGGACAGCAAATCACACTGTGGGCAGAGGCACAGTCTAGTTTGTTGTTCAGGAGTCTTTCCTCTGACATTATTAAATACTTCCAGCATCAAACAAAAGCAGGACCCGTATGAGCATTGCCAAAGAGAGAGAGAGGGTTTAGAAACTGCGTCAATAATTACCAGTAATTCTGAATTGTCCCCTAAATGAAGACAGGATGAATCCAGGTCAGGATCAAACAGCAAATCACACTTTTCTGTCTTCACATCAGATAAAGTCACAGTCTAGTTGGTTGCTTCCAGATGTCTGTAGGAATCTTTCCTCTGAGTTTGTTAAACAGCTGAGCTTCTCCAAAGCAGCTGCAGTAACTTCATTATTCAGTCAGAGTTCTAAATTATCTCCGACCTAGAGACAGGATGAATAAGGATCTGTCAACGGGCCATACTATCTGTTTCCTGTTAGTAAAGTAGCTGTTAGATTATCATCACACATGGACAGCGCTGTCATTCTGATAAGCTCCTACTAGTTCAGATTTAGTCCTGATTGTTGTTGCTTTATTATGCATTAAATATCGCTTGTCTCATCTCTCAAATATGTCTGAATGAAGCCATGAGGAACATTAACAGCAAAGCTTTAGAGTCCTGAGTACAACATCAAAACTAGTTCTTTGCTTTCTTTATCAGACGGGGAAGACCCAGCTGAGGGAAAAACCACCATCAGAGCAGCAGCAGCAGCAGCAGCAGCAGCAGCAGCTATGTAAACCCGGTCATCGGCAAGTCATGCATGCATGTGAATAACCGGTCCTTCCACATTCTTCAGAGAGGGAAGAGGGGAGGGAGGTTTGGGAGAAAACAAGGTACAGAGAGAATGAGGAAGTGAGGGAGGGAGGTATTTGCCTGTAACAGGCAGAGGGAACAAGTAATCCTCTCAAAGTCCTTCTCAAACGTCGACTTATGCCGAGCAAAAGAGCTGCTACGAGTCTTTTTATGTTTTAAATCACGATGGCCACTTTACAGTGACACGTGCACAAAGAGACGCGTCGGACACCTACAGACTCTGGACGTTTAAATAACTGCTGTCGTGCGTTTCAAGTCGTGTCTTACATTTTCCTGGCCCTGTTTTATTAAAGCTCCTTTATCCCAAACACCGAAACCATCTGTGAGCGCAGACAGACCTTTGGCCTCGAGTTGTCAAATACAGAATGAAAATACAGATTTGTTTTGTTCCTTACTGGCATAAACTTGTTGCCGAAGGCTTCGCAGCGCTGTCTCACAGAATTCATGGCCAATGTGGATTTGTTTAACTGTAAAGAAGACATAATGCAGCTTTATACTGAGCCACATTCTCCTGTTATTTGTAAAACTAGAGGGAAACGTAAAAACAGACTGGTAGAGATGGATCCTACATTTCCCGGCCTCTTTAAACTTTAAAAGCCGACTTCTGTCCATGCTGGTTTGGCTTTTTTCAGTCTCATAGGTGCTGGAAGTTGTTCTGGTCTGGTTCTTTGTGCAGGTTAGTCAGGGGAAACGTATTTATTTATGGAGCTGGTTTTGTGCACAGTCGGGTTTTAAGTAATGTAAGACAAAAGTAAAAAAACACAAACAAACCAGATAATACAAAATCCCAACGTATGACAAAAAAACCAACATCAAACTAAACCGTGAAGAAAAGTCTGCAGCGTTTTCGTCACTGTTCACGTTCAACCCGTCCAGATGTTCAACTCCCAGACAGCTCCTAAACTAGTCATCCATTAAGCACCCTGTAGGTGGAAAAATTAACTAAATCTAAGCTGAAAATTGTGATATTTCATTAAAATCATCATCTCCTACATGTCTCGTTCAAAAAACTTTCAATACCAACCCGTTTGTAGTCACCAGAGTCTGTAAACAACGAGACAAACTCAGAAACGTCTCGGCTGAACTGCAGCGTTTACACAGAAGAGAGAGGAGACGAGTACTGAAACACATTAGACGTGTAAACAGGCAAATGTCTACAGTATGTAGAGTGGAGACGTTGAAAAGAAAAAAGACATTACATTGACTAATTCTTGGCTTTTTCGAATACCAAAAAAGGAAAATTGCCAAAATCACAGAAACTGCAAAAACATCTACAGTTGTGAGATTTTCTACTTTTCCGACAGTGTGATGTATAGTTCTGAAAAGTGACCAAATCTAAGCTTAAAATCAGAATATTTCATCTAATTCACTTTATTTTACATGTCTGACTTAAAAATTCACCAAAAATAAACCGTTTTCCTGTGAAACAAACCTAAAAGTTTTACGCTCCTCTGTGCTGCTAACGTGACGCCATTACTGACCAAAATAATCTGACTTTTGAGAAAGATACGGAAACAAATCAAAACGTAAAATTATCTATCGCATCTCGAGCCTCCAGTTTTCCCAGCGATGCTATCACCTGCTGGAAAAGTGTTGATGCATCCAGGCTTTTTCCAGCTTTTGTAAAATAAATAATCAAAGAAATTAGACTATTATTTGTACAATTTATGGCTGTATAGGTGCATCACACTGCACAAAGGAGTTCTCTCTGCTTCTAATCATGGTTGTGTTGTTTGTATAAAGGTGCAGGAGCAGAAAAAACGCTGATAAAGCAGCTTGAATATCAGAGGGTTCGTCTAAAAATGTGTTTTTGTCTCCTTGTTTTGGAGTCCTGCTTCCTTTTACTTTCAACCATCGTGTCGCATCTGATTCGTCACACAGCAGTAATTTCTCGTGCGTCCAACCGGTCGCACAGTTTGCAGCATTTAGCGAAGTCTTATCAGAGGCCGAGTGTGTGGCTGCATTCCAGTCTAAGCCTATTCGTATTCCTGCAAACAGCGATTGGTTGCCGAACGCCGTCCGACGACTGTAACAGGAGAGGAAAGTCACGGAGGAATGCCGTCCGACCGCTCTGCCTCAGCTACTCTTTAATCCTCCTGACACTCTCGCTGTGCTGCGGGAGGCAAGACAAACAGACCGGACATTCCTGTTCAATTCAGCAGCGAGCACGAAAAAAAAAAAAAGCCTCGTCCTCTTTTCAACATTCCCGACCGATGGCTTCTACCTTTAGCATCATTCTGAGGTGCTAAAAAAAAAAAAAAAAAGAAAAAGTAGGTCAGCAGTAAATAGGAGCCAGCTGCTGCTTCATTGGAGCCTTTATAGAGGTGTTTAATGACGGGATGGAATGCGTGATAGTGCCGAGGCGATAACCGAAGCGATAAGCCGCGGTTTACACGCATTTCAGTATTTTAAAACACACGCTGGGGCAAATTCCAACAACACAGGACGTCCTGGATCCGTTATCTGCTCTGCAGCTCACCGCTCATGTGATGCAGATAAAAGTTAAGGATCTGACAAATGAGAGATAAGATCCGACGTCAATACAAGGAGGAGTAGAAACGTGCGACCGACGCCACACGTGTGAGCTGAACCTTCTCACCGATCGGTGTGAAAATCTGAGTTCACAACATAAACAGTCAGCTCAGAGACGCTACCTGTTAGCGCCGAGCAGGTGCAGACGATGAAGTGATAAAGGCCAGAGTGGTGCTTAAAACCCGTAAATACTAAGTCTGCATCGACCAGAGAAAACCGTGTACCAGCTCCGTACTGTGAATAAAAAATACGCAGTTATGTGTGACTCAACCTGCAGCCTTGTTAGTCTAAATTATTTCTAAACCAATACAGAAAAGCGAGCAGCGCATTAAATCAACTGAACCTCAGTCAGTCTGTGTCGTTTTTGATGCTTCTCTACAATCTTAGATTTTGTTCAGAGTTTACTTGTTTTTATTTGGGATCCAAAACTAAGTTCAGTGAAAAAAAAAAACTAATTCAGACATGGGACTTTTTGTATTTTTATTCCCAAACAAACAACATCTCACCTGGAAAAGGTGTTTATTTTACATTAAATAAAAATCTAAACATCTCTGAATGTCTGTAAACAACAACAAACAGTAAAATGTCACATTTTAGAGGCTGACACTGGTCTTGTTGCTTAAAAAAGTACGTTGTTTTGGACTACAGGTGCTACTACAAGATCCTAAAACCTGAAACAATCAGTTCACTATTGTAACATGAATATCTTTGTGTTTTGGGCGTCTGCTGTTGTTGAATTTTCCACCCTGTAAGAAGAGCTGGACGACTGGAGCTCCTCTATACACTGAGCTATAATCAACAGCTCAGGAGAAACGCTACATATGTGCACAAATACTCTTAAATCTTGAATATATGAGGAATATTAAATCAGAAAAATAGCTCTAATTTTAGTGGAGAAGCGTTCAGTAAACGTTAAATAAGCTCGACCTGGTGGTTTCTATTAGGATGTAGTAGTTAAATGCTCCATTCAAATATGCAGCGTTTGCAAGACTGGTGGTACAAAAACGCACCACAGTTATAATGAATGAGTGAACAGATGAACTAATGATGGAAATAATGTGGAGTTGAAGCCCTAGTTTGAATTTTCAGAGCTGCATGTTGCACCCAGACCTTTAAAGAAGCTAGTTCCTACCTAAGAAATATAAAAAGACACCACATTGACCTCCAAGAAGAGTCGGACACTCTGGGATCCTCGGCCTGGCGACACCAGGAACTCCACGGTGTCTCAGCAGTAAACTAAAGTCGAAGGTGTTTTGCAGGCAGAATGTGAAACTGAAACACTGGAGGAAGGTCACGCTTTCACTTGCTATTCAAGTCAAGACTCCGGCCGCCTTGCTCTGCTCGTCAAACTAAATGAGGAGCGCCGGCGGAGGCCTGAGAGGTGAGGATCAAATCCCCGAGTCGGCCGTCAACAAACACACCTGTCAAAGCGTCCTTCAGCGAGGACTCAAGGTAGAAGAGGACGAGCTGGAAAACCTCCAGAGGCGAAGCGCGAACACAAGAAGGACGAAGCAAAACAGAGGGAGGCGTCTGATGACTTACTCTTTGAGGGTGGCGAAGCCTTGTTCTTTGTACTGCAGCTCCTGCTTCATACAGGCCAGGTCCCGCTTCAGCTTGTTCACCTGAAACAAAACACGGAAAAGAAATAAAACAGTGTTCCTACTTAAATCTGTAGAAATGGGCCACAAATAAAAAGTCTTCATTCCCCTTGGACGTTTTCTCCTTTTATTGCTGTTTAACATTAAAACATGCTCAATTTAAATAGTTTTTCTGACAAGAACTCACAACAACAAAGACTCTTTAATGTCAAAGTGAAAACTGATTTCAACAAAGTAACGTTAATTTATGAAAAATACAACATAAGTGACTCCAAAAGTGTTCATCCCTCTAAGTCAGTGTTTAGTAGAGGCCTCTTTGACTACAGTTGAGCCTGAGTTGGTCTCAATCAGCCTGAACATTTGGAATTTTACCCAATTCTTTAAAAAAGCTGCTCAAGCTCTGTCAGGTTACACAGGGATAGTGAGGGAACAGAACTTTACAAGTGCCGACTCTGACTGGGCCTCCAGAACATTCACCTCGTTGTTTTCCAACCAGCTCTGTGTAGCTTTGGCCGTTTGCTTCGGCTCATTGTCTTAATAGGAAACAAATCTTCAGTCAGTTCTCCTGCAGACTGCATCAGGTCGTCCTCCAGGATTTCCCAACACTTTTCTGCATTGATTATACCCTCTCCCTTTACAAGCCTTCCAGGGCTGCTGCTGAGAAGCATCCCCACATCATGATGTTGCCACCACCAAGTTTTTAGGGCTGGTCCGAATGGCAATTCGTGGTCTCCGGATATTCGGTTCGAATTGGCAGCGAACATCCCACGGCGGGGGTGCGCTGTGTCCGTGGTGGTGGCAAGTATTAGTGACATTATTCTAAATAGAATGTATATCAATGAAAGACGCGTCTCCGCAATCGCCGGTCACAGTCCTGTATCCACCCTCGGTGTAGGTGCTGACGGGGGGTAGGAGGCAGGAAGCAGGAGGCCGAATAGTCGGAGATCAAAATTGGTGTTCTGACACCAGCAGTCCGAACGAATAGTCAGCTATTCGGCTATTCGGGTCCAGCCCTACAAGTTTTAAATCATGATGCTGCTGCCACTGTGCTTCACATCATGATGCTCCCTCATGCCTTCTGGTGAACTCCAGTCCAGATTTAATATGAGTTTTTTGTCTCTTTGTCACTCTATCATACAGCTTTGACTGATGAAGCACAGACAACAGTTGCTGCATGCACAGCTCCTCCCATCTTAGCGGCTCAAGTTTGTAACACCTTCAGAGAAGTCATAGCGGTCTTGGTGGCCTCCCTCAGTAGTCCTTCAGTCTGCTCTTGACAGATTTATAGCAGATCATCCCCAGACTGATGCTTTTCACAGAGTTCCTTGGATGTTCTTTAGTCTTCATGGTGTAGTTGGATCCAGGAGTACTGATCCACCAGTGACTGGACCTTCTAGATACAGGAGTCTTTATACTCCAATCACTGCACTCAGACGATCAGTTTTTGGACAACAGCAGTCTTTCCATAAGATCGGTCAAACAGAGCATCTGCAGATCTAAGCTTTAAGGTGAGAACTCCAGCAGTCGGTGGGGAATTCACAAACATCACAGCGAGTTTAAACATGCGGTCACGCTGCTCTGGACCAGTTTAACTGCTGAACGCGAGCGTGAGACTGAAGCTGGACTCAGGTGACTTCGGCACATATTTGATCCACAGCCAGGAGAAGAGAATGTACGTTCGCTTTCAACGTGAACAACAGGAACATGCATCTGTAATCCCAAACCGGAGGAAGTTCTATTTTCAGAGACAGATGACAGATTTATATGGAAGTCTTTGCTAATGTGCATAAAAGCAGCAGCGGAAGGAGACAAAACAAGAGCTGCAAGTGACGGGTGAAGTCCTCTGTCAATGATGTTCTCAGCTCATGAACAATAACAACACACATCTGTAAGTTCTAATACAGCAGCTAACAGGCACAACTGAACATCTTTAAACGGAACATTTGGACTCTTTAAAAGGAGAAGCTCTTACCCGACTTTTGGCAGTGGCTATCTCTGCTTTGAGGATGTCTGGGTCGTATTTGCTGGACGAGGATGATCTGGAGTTCACTGCAGGACAAAATATCCAGAAAAAAGAGAAATGTGTGAAGATCTGCCAGAAGAGTTAAAGACAGAATCAGTATCTAGAATCACCGCTGGTCATTTTATATGTATATATGCTTAAAGAAACAATACCAAGAGAAATGTCAACTTGCTTTTCTCTGTCAAGATTTAAAAGCAAAGCTAATAAAAAGAATTTAAAAAGACAAACGGTCTTGTTGCCTGATGATTTTTAAATTCCAATATTTCCTAATTAGTGACATTCAATTATTAATTCAGTACTACAACTATTTTGTTATTTCTACATTTTTAAACACAAATTTATCAATCAAATCTATTTTTCTTTCTGCAATTTTATTTTATGAATTATTTTACAACCTGTATGTAATAAAAATGTCTGTAATAAGTAATATAAATGAATTTAAAGGTGTTACGTATACAGTACATACAGGTTATTAAATATTTTAAAAAATGGTAATTTAATGTTACTGTTATCTTTAACTTATTTAAGTTTTGTGACTTATCAGATTTATTACTTTTCACTTTTCACTCTGATTGTGTTTATTAGAGTTTTTGTGTAATATGTCCTGCACCCCAAAGTAAAACTACTTTCATGACTTACTTGCATTTTTAAAAATTCTTTCTTTGTTTGTTGTTACTGTATAATGTTCACTTTTCTTGTTAAATCTACATGCATGTAGAAATGTTCCTACTGATTGCTGCTGAAGGGTTCCAGGTGTGTGACTGTGAGGTCTAAATGTGATTAAATATAAGACCTGAACAGCACCTGTGACTGTTCAGGTCTTATTGTTTAATCACATTTAGACTTTCTGTCGCATCACTCTCATATCCAGCATCAAACGTCACACCACAAAACTATTCCTTTAACTCCTTTTCTTTAATTTCTAGTCTGTACTTTCGCTTCTGAAAAAGCACACTTAAACTCACAGCTCGTCTGCGACGTGGACTTGTCCCTCCAGGCGTCGTTGAGCTGCCGGTACTCCTGCTGGGCCAGGCGGAGTCGCTGCTCCTTCACCTGGTAGATCTCCTTCTGGGCGCTGAGGGCGTCCCGGGCCACGGCCAGGTAATCCCGCAGCATGGCCTCCTGCTCCCGCTGCCACTGGGCCCGCGGGTCCTCCAGCTGGGTGCTCTCTGCAGGGAAACCACACTTACGTTAGCATGTCTTGTTGCAGTCAGATTTATACTGTTAGTGGCCATGGCTCAGGAAGTGGAGCGGGTTGTTCATTTAAATGTTGGTGGTTTGATCCCCTCCCTGTGGTGAAGACACTGAGCCCCAAGTTGCTCCCAATTAGAGATCAACTGATTATCAACCCAACCTGTTAATGAGGCAGATATCTGGCATTTTTACATAATTGGCATCATTACTTTTATGAGGTGAAATTAAATGAGCTGCTATGGCTCTGATGCAGCTGGCTAGCTCTGCTTGAAGTCACCCGGTGGTCTCAGCTCTTATCTGATTGGTTACACGTCACAAGTAACAACTAATCAACACTGACAGCTATTGTTTACGAAGAGAGACAGACGAGCACATTAGCAGATCGGAGCAACGTAAGGTGAGTTAGCAGATACTGCTGGAGGGTTAATAAGCACATGTGTCTTCCACAAACATTCCAACTCCAATAATTGACTTGTTGGCATAAAAAAACTGGTGCAGCTAGAGCTCACGTTGCATAGGTTGTCAGCTAATGCTATCTGCAGCACTGTAACACATTCCAAAAGTAGGATGAACTTTTAAAATCTGCTCTAGCTGACAGAAGCACCTCTCCAGCAGAGACACAGCCAGCAAAAAATGGACAAAAAGCACAGCCACCTCCACAAATCAGGACATTAGCTGCTTTCACATTAGCTACAGCTACGCTAGCAGCTAAGTCAGAAAGCAGCCACAGATTAGCCTGACAGTGTCTGGAAAACAATAACAAATGATGCTTAATGACCTTTGTGGGGAATAAAAGTGATCGAATAGAAGAAGGTTAAGGAAACAGAGAAGAACACAGCAGACAGAACCGGAGAAGACAAAGTGCTACTGACAGATATACACAACAGGTTTCCTGCTATCACACTGTTAATACACAATATTTATTGTATATAGCTTGTAATTCAGTCATAGTAATCCCTATTAATAAACAAGCCTAGTGATGAAAGACCGGTCCCTGATACCGCATTACGTTAATAAATAACTTTAAATGCATATCGGTTACAGATATCGGTTATTGGCCTTTCTCGATCACCAGTAATCGTCATCGACATCGGCCAACGATAGGCGAGCACCTTGCATTGGTGTGTCGGTGAATGAGTGAATGAAAAACACATTGTAAAGTGCTCTGTAGAACTTAGCTCGTGTTAAACAGGTGCTTTCACAGATACAGAACATTTCACGTTTTTGTTGTTTTTGTTTGTGGTACCATCACACTTTCATGAAATTCTAAGAGAAAGCACAAGCTTTACAGATGCACCTATGAGGCAAATCACAAAAAGGTAAAACAGAAAAAACCAAAACATGCTCTTGTTGCCACTCTTGAAATTCTACCTTCTCTATCATCTCTGCCTTAAAAGTTTGTTAAATGCACTTTTCCCATCTCCAAGCACACAGGCAGGACAAATACAAAGGTAATTTCCAAAAACAAAAACCCAGAAATGGCAGCAACAGGAAGCAGACTCACTGGTGTTGTGGTCGACATAGTACGCTCCGACGACGGGGTCGTACGCCTCCTCCCAGCCGACCGGCAGCTCATCGCCGATACAGTCAGCGAACGTCAGAGGCTTCGTTTGCCTGAAGAACACAGAATCAGAACCACAGATTCAGAAACAGAAACAAACAGCACAAAGACACAAACATCTATTGAAGCTATTGTTTACACAGAGAGACAGACGAGCACATTAGCAGATCAGAGCAACGTAAGGTGAGTTAGCAGATACTACTGAAGGTTTAATAAACACAAGCGTCTTCCACAAGCATTCCAGTACAGGCACAGTCGATGTCACAATGTGGATGCAGATAAAGGTACGCCTTCCTGTTACCCAAAATTAAAGAAAATTTACCCAGGAGCCTCCAAAAATGCACACATTTTTTTGGGATATTCACCCAAACTACAGTGAAAAACAACGTTTCAGTTTTTAAACAAACAGATTGTGAAACGTATAGTGGTGTTATTTAAATTTAATGTCATCCTTTTTTAGTCAAAGTGTTTGTTTACATGGTAACCTACTGAAAATGTTCTGTTTATCAGGCCACATTAACATTCATCAGACGACTGTCCTTATAATACAAAAACCGCTCTGACAACCCTTAAATGGCCATTTTCTTTTTTCAGTTTTGCATGTTAAATATGACGAACACTTGAATTAGTGCCTCACTCAGGTAAGTAACTTAACTGTGCCGGAGCAGTAATATGGTCATTTATAATATTAATATATAGCAGCTGAATCAGAAGAATTATCCAAAATATTCAGGAAACCACAACACGCACAAGTGAAATATCTAAGTTGCAGGAATTAACACACCATTATCTGAATGATAATAAATCATTTAAAACGATTAAATATGTAGTACATTCAGGTTATTAAATAAATATACTAAACTAATAAGACAAAAGTACAGTAAAATAATCTATTTGACAGATAAACTTAAAGGCTAAAATTAGTTTTAAGTCTTTAAATTATTTTTAGTCTTTAAATATTAATTGTTCATAATGTTTTATTAAATTAACATAATAATGAATTAGAAAAGTAAAAAAAGAAAAAAGAAAAAACATACCAAACCTACACTAAACATAATAATATGAAGAAGAAGAAGAAGAAGAAGTATATACAACAGCTTGTATGTTCCACTTGACAATAAATAAAATAAAAGGGAAAACTTTAAAATATTTATCATGGAAAGAACTAAATATATCAAGCTAAAAAAAAAAAACCCACAAATACCTTTATAAATATGTATATTTTCTGCTCTAAAAGTATCAGACAAGCCAGAGATGGTCAAGCAGAAAATGTTTGATGATTTGAGACGGAATGACTCAAATGCAAAAACGACTATTCTTACAAAAACCATGACTTACATCACAACAACCATCAAAACAGTCGCAGTCTCATTTGTTCTGACAGCTGTAGTCCAAAAACAAACCCAGTAAGGTAATCCACAGGACAGCACAACATTAAATGACTGAGACGTTTTGTTAAAGTGGCAAATCACAGCAATAGTTTTCTATTTATTCACGTATTTATGGATTAAAATGCTAAATGAATTAGTTTGAGCTTCTTTGATTGATATTCAAGCAGGTTTTTGGACTGAATATGTCACGTTAAGCTTTAGGAAACTATTTTTTAAAAAATAAAAATAGCTGCAGCTCTGCAGGAGGCTTAAAGCTGCAGGTCTGAAGAAGAGTCGGGGTGAAACGTGGGTTTATGGCGGCTCGCTGAGAGCGTTTTAAAGAGAAGAGGAGGTCGGCTGAGTGGAGGAGGGGATGGAGGTGGAGAGTCTGGAGTTTCACCGAGTCCTCTATTCACCTCTAACGGAGGGTGGGGGGATGAGGAGAAAAGGCCTGCGGTGGGGTGGGGGGGTCCCTCCAGCCGGCCACAATAGGAGGAAGCCGGCCGGTGGCATTCCACAAGCAGCGCTGACGTATCGCCTGGAGGTTTCTGGGGCAACCTTCGGCCTCACCGCCGCCGAAACAAGCACTTCCACCGAGGCTTCAGACTCCACCTGCACCGACGGGGACGAGCGTTCTCTCTGGTTCACGCCCATATGGCATGTGCTTTTGGTTCGGATGAAGAAACCTTTTAAAAACGAGCACTAAAGCTGATAAGGTCACCTCCATGAAAGGACAATGACATCATAATTCAGAACCAAACTCTCAGCCGGTGTCGGTTGATCAACCACCTTCTGTTTAAAGTTTGTTGGTTATTTAAAATAAGTTCTGCAAAATATTTGGCTGATTTTTTTTTTAATTTCACATAGTTTCCTAATAAATAAGAGCTTTGTTAGTTCACTGCTCATGTCCAGCAGAGGTTTGGAAACATTCAACCACATAAGCCTCAAAACATGAAGGCAGCTTGTAATGACAACATCTAGACACTTAAACGCACCAGTTTTAGTTGTGTCAAATATTGTGGCTGAATTTGTTGAATTTCTTCAACCCTTGTTTTTGTATTGTTCCTGTTAACAAACGTCTTATCTGAGAAGCCATTTTCAGTGTTCAGTATCTCCACAAATAAAACTCCCACAGCCACGAAATCTGGTGAGGACGCAGACATAATAGTTCACAATTAATCAAATGGTTCCAACAGAGGCCACATTTGTTCTTATTGGTCCACGAAAATGGAAAACGAGCAATTTTTCCAGTTCTTCCCTGTTTTGATGCCACAAAAGCAACAAACTGGATTCATACGTGGCACACATCAGATTCTACTGGTGTTAGAGCCTCAAACGTTGGTACAATTGTCAACCAAAGACTGTATTTTTAGTAGGAAACGTGGATACGTCCATATATACACGCTAACAGGAACTTTCTGGGACCCGAGTACCAGCCTTGTTTGAAAACGTTGCACTTTTTCCCATTTTCATGGGCAAATAATTATTCATTTTTGTAATTTTGAACTTTTTTTTTTGCAGGTTTCATGTGAAAATAGCAACAAACTGGAACCTCATGTTGCCACACATCAAGTTTTACTGATGCTAGAGCCTCAAACGTTGGTGAAAAGTCGACCAAAGCTTGTGTTTTTAGCAGGAAACACAGACACATCCATATATACACACTTACAGGAACTTTCTGGGACCCAAATACGAACCTCACTTAAAAATTCTGCACTTTTTCCCATTTAAGGGCCAATATTTCATCATTTGTTCTCTGCTGGAGCAATGCTTGCATTTGAATCTGCTGGAAACTTGTCTGTCCGTGTCCTCACCAGATTTCATGGCCGTGGGAGTTTTATTTCTGGAGATATTGAACCATAAGAATGACTTGACAGGTAAGACGTTGTTTTTGAGGGTAAAAATACAGAAACTCCCAGGTTGGAAAACATCTAAAATTCTAAAAATCCAGCCAAAACAACATACAGAACTTATTAAACTCAATTCTCTAAACTAAAATCTGACTTGGTATAGGCTTGGTAAATGTCATTATATTTTCATAATAAGTCCGTTGTCGTATTGTTGGATTTACTTATATGACTAGATAGGTTCATGGTAATAATAATAATGGCACAGCTGTATATAATATTGCATTTCATGAAGCAACAAAACTAAAAAACTCCATAAAACTCTGCAATAACAAGCAAGAAAAAATAACATTGCTACCCTCCAAAGAAAACAACAGTTGGGAGTTTTCCTGCAAATAAAACACTGCAAAAATTTCACAGTGGAAACTAAGACTTCGTGCACAACATCTCAGCTGTTTGCTTGTGGAAAAGAATTCAGGTTAGTAGGACTACAAGCGAACAAATGACAAGTGAGGAGATGCTGATAAATAATGAAGTGGACGCTGCTGCTGCTGTTAAAGTCACAGAAAAGAAGGCGACACTCAAAGCAAGAGGTTGTCTGGGAGCAGATTACTAGGTTTGTATAAAACCGTAAAGGTAAAGGAGACGGCGTGATCTGAATATCAGGAGGTGGAGCCAACGAAACATTAAATAAATCAGATTTCTTTATTAGGGATGTCAAACACGTCTGAGCCATTTAACACTGAGCGTACGGCGATATGGAGTCCTGAATCGATGCAATTTTCCCAGAAGATCCAGCTGCACAAGAACATTAAAGTTAATAAACGTGTTTGACAACCGAGCCGCTGTGCGATGCATTAACAAACAGATCTCCTGCGTTCAGGCGGTTCCTTAATGTTGTTTTTGTATTTTATAGCAAAGTAAACAAACTTATCTGAGCTCCACTCAGCGCAGCTTTGTTTGTCTGAATTCTAAATAACCCAATAAAACAACCTCAAATCTGTCTTCATGAAGAAACTCAAATCCATTTTGTGTTGCATGATAGCGGTAAAACTAAAACTCTCACTTTAAACAATAGCTAAACGTTCGCAGTCACAACAAATAAAAACAACAGTTTATCTTGTGTAGCTAATAAAAAAATAAACTAATAAAAAGAACAAGAGAGACTTAGATTCAGTTTCAAAGTGTTAAAGGCAGCAGCGGCCAATTCCATCTGATAGTGAGCAAACAAAGTTGAATTATGGCACTTTTGGTTTTCCGTACCAAACCTGCATTTTCTCTTAAAGCAGTAAATTGCGTTCCCCTTTCTAATAAATCGTTCTCTACGTTGGAGATGGAATCAGGACGTCGCTAGAATGTGTCTACAGGTGGTTTGTTTGCAGCATCAGTGGGAACATTGGGATAAACCTGCAGGGACGTTGGTGCAGAGCTCTTCTTCTCATGAAAGCAACACCAATGAGAATTTGATCAGATGGGAGCAAATTGATTAATGCAGTGACTGATGGCAGAAAACCAAAAAAACAGACCTGGAAATTTGCATCATATGTCCTGTTTAGATATCAAAAAGTTTGGTGGTTGTGTCCAGAACAACATCTCTGGCTGAGCAGTTCTGTTTAGTAGTTTGTGTAAATGGGAAATGACAAATCGGAAACTGACCCTGCTCCTTCATTTCAGAGGAGACAACGACAAAAACGTGATTTTCTTGAGGCTAAATTCCAAAACAACACCGCTGATCTAGACATCGTTCTGCAGGCCTGGAAAATGTGCACCGTGACTCCGTCTTCGATATGAAATATTTGGAAGTTGTCTCCAATAAAAGTGACTGAGTAGTTTAGT